ACTATGAGGGAACCTGCTGTGGTATTGAAGCCACCACTGATCGATGGAAATATATGGTAAATTGGCATCTAATATGATTTTGACTTGTGATGTAAATTATCCGATTCCTAATAGCTCAAACATTAAGTGCATATTTTTTCCTTTAGATATTAGAGCCTCTCAATTCAGTAAGTCTTTGTTTTAAGAATTAATATACATAACACTAGACATTATCGGATAGTCAGATTGCATAACTTACAATATTCGTAGTAAAAAAAAACAAATAAGCACATGCAAAAAGAAATTGAAGCCTACCAAAATTACCAGATTAAGCATTGACAAATTATTCTAGAATACCTTGACAGCACCTTCTTCAACAATTGACACCCGAGACAACCGGTTGTAATCTAAACCAATCCTTTTCTTCAATTTGCTGAAATTGAATTTGCTGGTGAAATACATACGTAAGGTAAACCACTACATAAAATACAGAAACTCAGAAAGCATGTATTGATGAACATACTTGTAAATGACGAGGGAGAAGGCTACCAAGCAAGTCAACAGGGATTTTCTCTAGTCCTTCAGCTACCACTGAGTAAGTTGTAAAAAAGAAAACTATGCATACAAGATCCCGTGCTTTATTCCAGCCGAAATGTTCTTCATCAATCAATATTCGCATAATTTCAGCAATTGAAAGAGATGGATGGGTGTCCTTTAGGAAAGGAAAACCTTAAGTTGCAAGACAGTACTGAGAACACAATTATGTCACTACTCACTAGTGATCAGCTAATGCATACAATAATTTAACTCATATAATATCCACTTTCACATATACTGAATCAACAGATAGAAATCTGAGAGGGCTGGAGAATGGTTAGCTAGGATAGTTAGACAGTTAAAGTTTTCAAGATAGGGAATTAGAATTGAATAGGAGGATAGTGTAGAAGAGTGGGAATTCTGTTTTGTTATCATGTGGCAAATTGAGCATTAGCTCTATTGTAGCAAGGAGAAACCATTTATGAAGGGGAAACTCTTTGAAGGAGAATCTTCTCCTTAGGTTCTTTGTAATTCAGTAAACATTGGACACGGTCAAAGCATTCTTTTTCCTTTCCTTTCTCTGTTTTTCTTGTTTCTTCTCTCCATGTCTAGCGTGGGATAACCTGAAAACCCCATGAATCCTAATGGAATAGAATCACTACAAAAAAAAAATAAAAAAATGAAGGAATGGTGACATTTAGAAATGGCCATGGGCTAACCTGGAACTTTGAATGGTCAAGCGAATTTCAGAACCTTGTCTTAAAAATATATAAATTACATATTATTGAATGCTATATAGTTTTTGAAACAGTGTGTTCAGTAATCACCATACCAATTAACAACCAAATGTGCAAGTACAAAATATTTGACAATGAACCTTATCTGGCAACTCATCAAAATTACTATGTGCTTTTTTGAACCTTCGGATGATATCTTGTAAACATGCTGAAACAAAGAAAAACTGTTGTTTCAATCTCAGTTCCTTCCCCTGAAAAAAGAAAATAAAACTCAAATTGGTAATGTGACAAGAGGGATTGAATACTCTTCATCCTTTTCATGAAAAATTCAACTAACCGTATAAACATCCTAATGTGATGTTTTTACCAACTGTTATGCCAAATGTGGCAAACAATATTGCATGGGAGGCAACTAAAACAAACTAAAATAGAATGCATGGAATCTTAACATTAAAGTAATGCACAGAACCACACATTGACAAAGGAAAACTTTGAGAACAAAAGCAGAAGATAATAAAAAAACCACTGTTCATTCAACAATTAGCACCAAGTTTCTTCACTGAGCCTTCACCCATAATTTTTGGCAGATTATCAATTCTATAAACAACTATGCCGAGTCAGTAAAAAAATGAAACACAGAATTTTCAAAAAGAAAATATCATTTTAAAACAACAGCAAAAGACACTAAAGGAATATAAGGCTCCATTAACTACACAAAGCTTTATACATAAATTATCTAATACAGTGAGGAAACTATCAGATAAAATAGAAATCACAGAGAAAGAGAATCAAAAGGGAAAGATAGATATAACTGAAGAAATGATTCATTGATTATTCTGAATACAAGAGAACCCGCTATATATAGCTGTCAGAATGACTCAGAGCTGAGTCATCAAAAGTAACTAACCTATGACTAATCTAACAGAAGAAATGTAATACAATTTACAAAAAAAAATAGAAAAGTAAATGTAGCTATATCTCTAAAGAAACAATGAAACTAAAGTAAGTAATCTTAAATGAAAGCAATATGGGAGTCTCTTGTTCTTACAATAAAAAATTCACAGCCAAACATATTGCGTTATTAGCTTTCATTATAAACAACAGAGACAAAGCTAATAGAAAAGTACAAGTTTTGAACAGATAATAGCAACAAGCCAACAACTACATCATAATTTAAAAATAATAATAAAGGCATACCTGATGAGAATGGTCATCAGGGTACAAAACATTACTTATGGTTTCAGCCCTTTGTTTATTAACAACAGAATTAATGTAATCTCCAATAGGAAAAAAAGGGTTCAATAGCTCACCCTAGGCCAAATAAAGAAAGAGATATGTCAAACTAAACTGCAAATAATGGACTACAGCAAACCACTTCTCATCTGATTCTAAGCTAAGTTCACTCTCAGGAAAGGTATGACCATTCGATTAATGACCTAAACAAAATAATTTATTGTAAAAGCCACATAATTACAGTTAGTTATTTTTTATTTACTTAAACCTATATTATGATACCATCATGCCAATACTTTAGTCCCAAATTTGGAGCAGATGCTTATTCTTAAGAAAATTACCAAATCAAATTGATTACTAGGTTTAGCAGCCCATAGTGGAAGGTTGATGGTAATTCTTGTCCCGTGACCGGGTATTGGGTTGTCATAAGCCACAGCTTCTACCTGTAATTCAGGAAGAACAAGTTCCTCATCAACATTATGCACATTCCACAAGTCTAAAGAAATGCAACACAGGTAGCAGTAGGCATACATCTATAATTATTTGAAAATATGTTATTGAAAAAAAATAACATTGCAAACCAAATTAAAAATACCATTCTTACCATCTCTCCAGGGACCCAAACCTTATGTTTTTCTCCATTCATATCAACCTCTTCAACAGTTCCATAGAACTAATCCATTCAGTAAAATATAGAGATACAGTCAGCTTGTAATTTTAGGTGATAAAGTGAAATAAAGGCAATAATATGAACAGAAACCATAAATGACTCAAAAGGCATAACTTATGGAAGCTGGGCAAACATTCACTTCATATGTTACATGAATCCACTCTATCTCCCAAGGGTTTCAAAGTTCAGGCAATAATCAGGTTGCTCGTGTTGAAAGCCATCTACTATAACCTGACGAAACAATCCATATTCATAACGCAGACCATAACTGCAAAGTGAAGATCAAGCTCACAAACTCAGCTGACAGCATCCTGTCTTTAGATAAGAGGCATATTTGTTTTGTATAAGACAAAGCGCAAAATAAGTATACTTCTGTTTGCCTGCATAGTTCCAGAATCACCAAGTAGGTTGAAACTTAAAACAAGTATAAAAATAACACTGCAAAATTAACTGACAAATAAGATGTAGTCCTGTATAGCACTGAAGGTTTCAGAGGCACAATTTGTACAGAAACTGGTAATAACCATTGTTGACAATAAATAGAAGAACTTCCAAATTCATACAGTTTTGGGACAAGACACTCAGAATGTGAACTATAATTTAGAAACTAAGCTGTTGAGACATTGAGACAGTGTTATTCTTGTTTGACAAATAGCACCATACGTACACACAATGTAATTATTGTTGACTTGGAAAAACTTTGGGCATCATAACAACTAAATGTGATCAAAAAACTAAGTAATGGATGTCCAAGCTTTTAAGGCCAACTTCATAGCTCACGGCCTATATCTACGTTTAAAAAATTAATTTAAAAAAACTGAAAACATTATGGTGAAAATCTTATTGTTTCAGACCTGCTAGAAAAAATTTACAACAACTCAGCAAGTCACACCATGACCATACCCCCACGCAGGATAATCCAAAGTTGCTAAAGAATCCATTTGGCATGCTGAAAGACGAGAAAGGCCACCATTGCCTAAGGCTGCATCTCCTTCCTTGTCAGCGATGTCACATACATGTATATTAAGGGATTAATATAACCACATTGAATGTTCACTCTGAAATAATAAATCTACAACAGTAGACTGGAAAATGCAAAATGATTAAATTAAACATTAATAACACCTGCTCTGCCAAAACTTCAAACTCAAATCCAAGTTGGCTTAAGGCCTCTGCATATTGATGCTGGATGCCAAGATTGATAACACTATTTGACAAGGAACGACCTGATATTTAGAAAACATGTGTTCTTAAGAATTGGATACAAGAACAGCAGCAATTGTACATTTTCACATGCACAACCATTGGTTAACCATTCATCTGATGAACGAAACAGTTCAGAATCAAATTATTTAATTGTTTGACTTTGCTATGACCTAAATCTTAGAAGAATATTTTGGACTGCTTTAGTTTTCTTCATGTTTAAACCACCAGAGTACTAAAATGTATAGATACTTTTATCAGACCACGATATAATATACAGAAATATATAATTAAATAAAATCTTATTTTTATAGTATAGCATAATTGGAAAAATCCAAATGTCATATAATACACTATTAGTCAAAAATTCCAACACACCATTACATTAAAGTCAATTACGATGATAATTACTTTCCTGAAATGTGACAAAGATCAAACATCCCATTACTTGCTTAGACATATTTACACCATACTTTATGTCAAAAACCTTGGGACAACCAAACCACAAAAGCTAGTTGTTGTAGTTGGAAAGTCTATGGTGTTATAAACCCTACATTAGAATTTCGTACTTTTAAAGTGAGACTCAAGCCTCATCTAGCAATTGGATCTTAACATCCCACCACACTATAATGTTTGCGCCCATGCGAGCTAGCCGTACACTAGCCCTTTGAATAATCTTGAACACACTGCTCATTTGCCGCTAAGAGACGTGATGGAAGGCTTTTACACCAATTGATAAAATCCTTGGATAAAACAATCAATAAAAGTCAGTTGTTGTAGTTAGAGTCCAAGGTCTTATAAATCAAACACTAGAATCCTATATTTCCAATGTAGGACTCGTTCATACTACTCCTCCAAACTCAAATATAAGCAATAAATAAATAACTCGTGTATAGTGAATCTTAATGTAAACAAATATTAACTAATTTTATCCTATTTAATATTATAATCTCCACACAAAAAAAACCCTTCATTTAATTGAGATTTTATTTCCAATGACAATTTTTTTTTTCTTAACATCAAGTTTCAATGTGAGGCAATAGTATAGGAGAATAAATTGTTTTTAATTAAGATTAACAAAATTAAAAGATGTTAACTAGCTTTTTTAATTAATGCACAAGTTAGTTAATTTTGCTTATAATCAAGTCCATAAAGAGTATATGAAGAACCATTTAACATTAAAATGTTTAAAATTTTAACTATAGCTCCATCATTAGAACTAAACCGACATTGGTGCATGCATTTGCTTTTCTTTCAAACCAGAAAATATTTGTAATATTCTTTTTTCTCTTTTTGGTTATTGAGTAGGGTATCCCCACTGGCAAACTGTGAGACTAACCACTTGGGCACTGTTGCAACTAGAAGCCCCTCCTAAATTAGCCTTCCAGAAGATCTAAAATTTGGCCCACCCACTCAAGTGGCTTGTTTACTGCTGCTCAAACCGTTACTGGTGAATATCAGCTGTAATCTATAAGTTTATTTGGTTACATAGAATTTCATAATTAATTAATAACCTAAAAATTAACAAAAAAGAAAGACTTTAAAATGGAGAAATATTTCTGAATCGCTTGAGGAAATCCTTAGCATGATTGACATTCACTAATTTAAGGAAACTAGGAAAGGAAAATAAGTCAGAAAATATACAAATTAAATCCTAGTTACATGCATAATTAGTAAACTCGTATATGCTACTATGTTTCGGAGTTTTTTCTTTATTGCAGGAAAACTTTGCCGGTTGAAGAAATCTTGACGATTGAAGTTAAACTCGGGTGGAGAAAGGGGACCAAGATCACTTTCCCAGAAAAAGGAAATGAGCAACCAAACATTATTGCTTTGGATCTTGTGTTTGTTATTGACGAGAAACCTCATCCCGAGTTTACTAGAGACAGTAACGATTTGGTTGTGACACAAAAGGTGTCACTTGCAGAAGCTTTAACAGGCCACACTGTCCATCTTACAACACTAGATGGCAGGGTTCTCAATATTCCAATAAACAATGTGATTCATCCAAACTATGAAAAGGTGGTCCCTAGGGAATGGATGCCGAGTCCTAAAGATCCTTCAAAGAGGGGTAATCTTACGATCAAATTCCCAACAAGGTTGACTCCAGAGCAGAAAGCCGGAATTAAGATACTACTGCCACATTGAACTGTATCTTGTATGTATTCTTCACTTTTGCCTCTTCTATTTTAGACGGCTTTGGTTTGTGTACCTTGCATGTAATATGTTGAGAATCCTTCCACTCCCCACTCCAATCTAAATAGATTGGGAGGCAATGGAAAACGGTTGGTGTAAATGGTGTGCTTAACATTGTTGTGGTAGCAAAGTGCGTTATGTAGTCAGACTTTGGAAGTAATAGTTATGTGATTCTTAAAATTGCGGCGGGGAGAGGGGGGGGTCCATCAAGAAACAAATGCTGCTCAAAAAAAGATGAAAATAACATGGCACATGATACAGGGCTACAATTTCCGAAATGTGACATTGGTTTTGATCTCAGCAAACCTATTATAACGATACTAAAATTACGGCCAATTGGTTATTCCTTCCCTATTCGTTTAAATGATTGAAAAATAACGCACCTCTAAATATATTTCTTTCAAGTTTTCTATAAACAAAATTTCTTTCTGGTAAAGGGGTACACAAATTTAAACTAAACATTTACAAAAAAGATACCGGTTTGTAATTGAACAATTTAAAATATTTACAAAGTAAAAGCTAAATAAGGCTAACACGTAATTTGAATTCCCAACTTGTAACATATTAAAGATGCAATAGTCTATGCTTGTATAGCTATTGCGGGATGAGCAGAAGATCATTCTCCCCCAAAGATATCTAATAGATAGGTTCATCTGCAAAAAAAAAAAAAAAAAAAAAAAGTTGATTACATTAAAACATCTCAGGTAAATTTGGTTAAGATTATCAAAACGTAAGTCAACGAAAAAAGTATTAGAAAAGTAAAGTGACAGTACCATTCCCGTCCTCTACATCATTATAATCATCTTCATCGTCATCAAAATATTCATTCTGCAAGATTTTATTAGAGTTAGACAATCAATCAATTTTTTTTTACACTGACTTGGGCACTCAGCTATCACTAGAATTCCTATAAACAAAGTAACTTACATTTTTTTTTTACTTTTTCTTTTAACATAAAACGAAAAACACAAAGCTTAACGACCATATGCTTCATTAACATAAAAACAAAACATACAAGTGATACAACCATAGCAAGAAAGAGGGAAACAAGTGAAATAACTCTTCAAACTACTAATATCAGATTCTAACTGCTAAAAAGTTCCACAAAGTAATGAGCCATTCCCTTGAGCCCTCACCATGTCAAATTAAGTGACTTCCAAAATCCAATTTTAGTAACAATTTCATCGAATGCTAAAATAAGTTTATACTAACACCTGTTGTCAACGGAAGAATGTGCAATGCATGTATGAAACATTTGAACAAATGCCAAGTTTAATATACATTCACTTCTACAATTTAAAAGAAACCTCAAAAATCAAAGAGCAAGATCAAGGCGGACAAATCCATCACAATTCTCATCATCTACTTGTCTTTTTCTTCCCAAGTCTTATCATTTTGTATTGTTTACTTGTCAACTTGTGGAGAGCATATTGAGTAACATTTTAAAAAACGCCAAGTTTTATATGGAATCCACTTAAAATTTAAAAGAAACCTCGCGAAGCATTGAGCAAGCAAAAGATAGACCAAATTCATGATGTTTCTATTTTCTATTTTTTTCCTCCAACTTTCTATTTTCTCTTTTTTAATTTAATATTTTTGTTTGGGAGTCATTAGTTGGAGCTGCAGGATATTGCACAATATGGCAAGTTTATTTATGTAAAGAGAGACACTTAATTTCTCCTACGAAGGGGGGGAAATAATAAACTGCTACAGCTAAGAAACTTGCTCCCATTATCAACTTATTAGGTGTTTTCAGCATATCTATTTTCAAATTTTAAAGGTCATGCTCAACCCTTGACACAGTTCACAAAAGGATTTTAATGACATAGTAAACCATATAAATTCAAGTTTTTCATAGTCAAATGTTAGGCAAGTTTAGCTTTAAACTTCTACTTTAACTTCCATTTGAAAAATTTGTTGGGTACGGTTTTGTGACTAAATGTATTATTATTGCATCACAGAGACAAGAGAGAACCATCTTGAGTTTTAGAATGGAAAAATTATCGCATCAAAGAAGTTACAGTGGAACCTGATGATAATCATCCTCGCTGATATCATCATCGTCCTCCTCTTCTGCATTTTCATCTTCTTCATCTTCTCCATCTTTCTTTTCATTTTCATCGACATCCTCCTTGCCCTACAGGTGAAAGAATCAACAACACAGAATTTCACTGGAAAAGTAAAGGTGGCCCAACAATAGAATCAAAAAAGAAATACAATATTCATTTGGAACAAATGCAATCTTACTCCCATAACTAATGATCTAGCGCTCAACATTCCTTTAAGTTTGCTAATGTAATGGTAGTGGTAATGATGATGGCAGTGATAATAATCATGGATGTAATGATAATAAAATTGATGGCTCAGTGGTGGGGGCAGTGTTAATGTGATTAGCACTAGTGGTAACATCAATAATGGTGTTTGTATAGAGTGGCAAAGGCGATGGTAGTCTTTGCAATAATGCAATGATGGTGGCAATAGTAGTGGGGGAGGTGAAAGAAGCAGAGGAGGTTGTTGAAGTATCAAACTGAGATTGTAGTAACTTATTACACCTTATCAGTAAGTTAGAGCCTTCCTCTTATTTTGCCTTCTTTCACTTAGAAATCATAGGATCTAGATTAAGAATTGAGATTTTCTTCGGTTAATTATAGGTCGATTCCTTAAAAAAGCTATTAGGAATTAAAATTCCAATTCTAGGAGATATACGAAGGCAGAAATTAAAAAATGTAGGTTCCAAAATCCATTCCATTAGCGACAAAGAACCTTAAAGTGTATAGAAAGTCCACTGGAGTTTGGAATCAAGGGCAACAATATCTATCTAGGTTGTGGCCGGTCACAACTGCATCTGGCTGCGATTGCAGAGATCTATCTGCAATGCAACTAGTACATCTGCCACGCAACTAGTACATCTGCCACAATTTAAAACCTTGTTCCCATCCAGTAACAATAAATATTGAACTTAGTAAGTTACATCAAATTAAACATGTTCCATAATGAAACAAATGGAAGAGTTAGTGCCTTGTTATCACACACACATGCATAGAGCTCTAAACAGGCGCTCTACCTTGTTTTTTTCCTCTTGTTGTTCAAGGAAATCAAGTTTATTATTCCCTGTCACACAAACATCTTAATCAGTCTAAAGACAAATATAAGGCTTAATATCATTACTATAGGTAAACAATGATCAACTTTGTAGACAGACATAGATAATATCCCAATAAAAACTAGTTTCAGCAGCAGAAGCTATCAAACATTTATACAACAATATTACAATCTAGAATAGAATGTTGCATCTATATGTATGTACATAAACTTCTCGATAGAACACCATTTATAAAATTTTAAGTAATGAGAATTTCATAAAGTTCCTTCAAGATAATGGGAGCTATTTAGGATGATTAAACTTTTTTTGTGCTGATCTAAAACACATTCACATTAGCAGATAACCAATAGCTAATACCCCATGAAAGGAAAAAGGTCAAATGAAAAATCATTAAACCTGACTCCGGGTTCCATCGAAACTTTTTTCTTCTTGACGTCTGCTTAGATGCACCTGAAAACACAAATTTAAGTTTACATCATTTGTTAACAGTAACCACTGCCTCAACACCCCATTATTCCCTTATTCACACCTTGAACCAACTCCTGAGGAAATTCCTTGAACATCAAAACTTGTGACAGAGAGTCACGAGTAAAATCATTTCCCTTCTTGTCAGAAAATCTAGCTATGTGCATCCTTTGCCTCTCTGATGAGAAAACAAGAAGATTAATGTACTCCAACGAAGTTTACCAGAAAAAAAATAAATAATAGTATGCATGTTGGGGAAGAGAGGAGGCAGATATTTAGGACAAATATGGTTCCATGATAGCAATGAAAATGTTTTAGAAACAGTATGCCTGGATTTTTATGGTGTAAACCTACTCATTTCAGGAGCATTTCATTCCCAGCTAATGTGGGAAGCATAATTAAGTAAAAGATCGTACATGAAACAATAATATAATAATGCACTAAAGTAAATCATTTTGATGTGGCCTTCTCACACAATATACATGTAGAAACAACTAAATGCTTACTCTTCGAGGTTCTCTCCTCCAGATGATAAGGGGAGGCTTTCCAATAATTCTGAAGCTTATAACTCCAAATAAGCAGCTTTTTCGTACTAGCATCAATATCACCAATTTTAACTTCAGGTAAAGTAACATCCTGTAGCATCAGATTGATAGTAACAAGTAATAAGCATGAGCAATTGATTATATATAATAAAAAAAAAAAACAGAGAAACAGACCGCCCACCCTCTTCATTTGTCAGCTTCTGATGTAAAGAAATAATTGAGGTTTTAATAAACAAGAACTGAGAAGCTATAAATCATTTAAAGTAGAGGGGCAAACATTTGAACAATCAGCATAAAATAAAATAAAAAATAGGAGCAGTATTAGATTGTGACCAACTCTTTCTGATTGGGGAACGATCAACAACAGAGAATGGAAGATGAAGGAAAGTTAGTAGGGTATGGATATAGAAGTGAAAAATGAAATACCTCAGGAAAAGGATCAAATGGAACTTGAGCTGCAAATGTAAACCCACCCCCACCCCCTCGTCCTCGTCCCCATCCTCCTCGTCCCCGACCTCTGCCTGCCATCTTCACTCAAATTCCAAGTCCGCAAGGGAAGGACTTGCAAAACACCTCGTTGTTAGTGGCGTTCGCTGTCGGAGGTGGCTGGTGGAGAGAAGAGAGGGAAAGGGTGCGGCGGCTTGAGGTTTCTCCGTTCTGTTAATGGGCTAGGGCTGTGTAAGTCAGTTAGCCTAACCTCTACGGGTTCAGGTGAAATTTATATGATTATATTTAAGAGTTCAATTTTGTAAAAGCGGATTTAATTTTAGGGTTAGTTTGTGAATTTCATGGATTAATATTTTTAAATATTAAAATTTTAATATTTAATTTTATATTTAATTTTTTAAATTATTATAATATTAAAATCATATTTAGTTGGTATGTATTTGTTATTTAGATTATTTTTATGATATTTTAATGTTTTTATTATTTAAATTTTTGTTTTATATATTGTATTTCTTAAAAAATATATTTTTTATATATTTTTTTAAATTATATTTTTGGTTTATTTATTTTTATTGATTCACAATTTTAATCTTCTATTTTAAAATAAAGATATTTAATTTTTCTAATTTTATAATATAAAATCTTATTCCTCCATTATAATATATATTAGTGGTTAAATTTTAACATTTTTTCATCACATAATATTTAATAACATGATATTTAGAAATTAAAAAATTCAAAAAAATATAAATAAAAATTTTATTAACAAATAAATATAAATTAATTGTGAAATAGATACAAATGAAATTTTTTATATATTATTTTTAATTTTTATTTATACATCACATCAGCAAATATCATATTACTTAAGTGACAAATTACTAAAAAAATGTTAAAATTTAACAATCAATAAATATCAAATTAATAAAAAAAAACCCAAATCTCATATTTTAAAAAAATAAGGAAAACAAATGTTTATATTTTAAAATAAAAAGGTCAAAACTGTAAATCAACAAAAATAAAATCACCAAAAGTGCAATTTAGCCTCTAATATCTTGCTAAGAAACTGTACATCAGACAAGTATTGACACGTATATATGTTTAAATATAATTTATATAAAATACAAATAATATTTGTGACCTAAATATTCATATTTTTATAAAAACAAAATAATCCTGTGTAATCAATTAATAGTCATTAAACTAAATGCGAGACAAATACATGTTTGAGTAAATATATGCGAGACTTCAATATAAAGTCTTGTATTAGTACTAATTCAATCAACTTATTTTTCAAGAGAAAACACATTTTACAAATTTTATAACCGTCGTCCTTAACACAACTTATTTTGCGAACATTTTTTTGGTCACATATGATTCTATATTATTGACTTTCATAACAATTATTTTTATGTGGCTTTTTAGTTAATTTCATTGAATTGAGAATGTAAGAAAAGAGGGGAGATACTCCTACTGCATAGACGGGCAACAGAGAATATTAAACAAGAAACGTCGAAAGTGGCCTTATAACTTATTTATGAGTCCAACGAGTAACGACGTGACCATCGAAGTAGATTCGTTGCAGCATAAATACGATTACGTAAAAGTCCTACTATTACTAGCCTAGTATATTACACACAATACGAGCACTTTCAAATTCTCTGCACTTAGATGGATGCTATTTCATTACACGACACACGAAGCCTGCGAATAACCCTGCATAAAGGAAAGATAAGATGTCAAAAATATGATGAAACCTACGTTAGACTCCATAAAGCTAAAGGCCAGTTAATTAAAACGAAAGAAAGAACACATTCTACGACTTAAGAACAACTTAAAATCAATGCACATTATGCACCTAACGCAAGTTAACTAGAATAGATTCTAGGACTTTAAACACCACCTGTTTTATCAACTCACCTAAAGAGAAAATATAGTAACAAGAATTTTTAAAAAGAAATCTCAGTCTTCTATTCCCAAACCAAAAGAAAAAGGAAAAAGGAATATGCACCAAACCACCGTGCATGGCTTCAGCATCAGAATATGTAACAGACATAAGATTATAAGAATATGCTCCTTTGCTCATAGATTCAAGGAAGACTTCTTAAAGTTGCAGATTACCCCGGGTCGTATACTAAAAGCATGGCTAACATAGGAACAAGAACCACAGAATACTTCAGAGCTTAAACAAAAGCTCCAAACTTCATAAGGCCAAACAAAATCCATAGTAATAGCTGCTAATCAAGTGTACCTAACTAAAGAAACATGTCAGTATCATAAACTAACAGCATGTTAAATTCTAAAGGAAAAATAATAGCAGAATAATCAGCAACCAAATAAATTCCTGAAGTAGAAATACTCCATCAGTTTGTAAATTTTAAAACCGGCAAACAGTTAACTGGGAGAACTGATGACATGACAAGTAATGGTACCAATGCATGGTAGCGGATATTGTAAAGTTGAAACCGTGGAAAGTGGAAACAGTGTCTCAAACATATTGTGGGCTAGCCAACCCAAGAAAAAACAAAGAAATATCTGAGTGGTGGTCAACAAAAAGATGTTGTTTAGTGTTTACAGATTCAATAACTATTTGCCACTGTCGATAGAAAGCTTAGAGGAATCAGGCTCACAAACTAGCACCTAATTGCTAGAATTTCTTTTGCAATTTACCTAATTAGAATAGAACACAGACGATTATACCAAAGGAGTGAAGAAAATAGATAAACAGTAAATTCCATTAATCCACTTGAATCATTTTCCAGTAAAATGATAAAATGGGCCAAATAAGATTAAATAAGAAACAATACCGAAAATTGACAATGCAACATAAATTTATAAAAAAATAATAATAAAAAAACCACATTCTCAAATATTAAACAGTGCCAAAAAGAAAATCAAGCAGGAATACTAAATATTGAGGGTGACAATGGTATAATGAAAACAACAAAAGACATGATTACTTCGAAGTCTGGCATCAACTAATACATAAAAGAAAAGAAATCATAATTAACACACAACAAGGCTTTTGCCAGCTTTAAGAAAACCTTACTATGGATTTGCAGGAAACAGTCCATCAAAAATCAGTCAAATCTTTCATAAGAAGTAAAGTCATTAATAATGATTATTACTCTAATAATCATGTTAACATAAATCCAATTTCATTACCAATATCCTCTAAAACTCAATGATGACATCGACGACACTGTATCCCAATAAACTAAACTAAACTAAACACCAGGGAAAGGACAATATTGGTTCTTAGTTCTAATGAGCACATTCTTTACAAGCCACCAATCAGTCAGACTCGCGATATACAATCCCTGAAAGTGAAGAAGATAACAGCGACCAACAAAGTAGATTTTCAGTTTTTTTCATGGCCCCATGTCATCATTTTTGCTTTTGCATCGTAACAAGGCAATAGCAGAACAGCTCAAGCCATGAAAACGAAAGCACTATCTAACAACAGTACATCTCTCCCTCTCTCTCATTCTATCCCTATCCAAAGCTTTATTCTCATTCACATTGCATCACAACAAACCACAAAATAAAAAAGGAATAACCAAAATCACCAACAAAATAAAAAGGAGCATAATTATATATCAAGAAAATAATATTCATATAGTTTGGATAAATTTTTCCAAAAAAAACTAATAAAAAATTAAAATAAGCTTCTCTAAGTTAAAATTATCTTATACAGTTATACATTAATTAAATTAAGATTTTGAAGTTAAAATTGAGATTTTAGAGAAAATAAAAAAAAAATTCCTGCAAGTTAACTTATGCATAAATTAATTTTATCTTTTAGAGAAGTCAATTTCATTTTATCTTCTTATTTTTTTTCTGTGTTTTGGCGGACATTAATTACAAATTGCCATGCAAGTTTCTTACTTTTTACAATAATTATCCTAAAATTCATACTTACCATGAATTCTAATCAATTGATAGCATAAAAATTTGAGTTAAAAGAGAAACTAACAAACTCTAACTTTTTTCACGAAGCAGAGTGCTGGCCCTCGCACGCGGGGCTGCCGTCGAAATTCTTCGACGGATACTTCGCCGTGACCATGCCGACTTCGAAGACGATGTCGTCGCCGGAGGAGCGGATTCCGGTGATCGACCACCACTTGAAGAACGCGCGAACCCTAATTCCGTCAAGCTCCCCAATTTTCCCCTTCTCGATCTTCCCGGTGATGGTGTCGGAGTACGTGGCCACGTAGTTGTCCGGCGGGAGCGTGATCTTGCACGCGCCGCCGAGCTTAACGGAGAAGTCGCCGGAGGATCTGTTCACGGCGTAGCCCAAGACGGTGGTGGCCGGGAGAAGGCCCACAGGGAAGCCGTAGTTGGTGAGTTCAACGTGCGCCACCGATGGCGTTGATTTGGGGGTTTTAGGGTTAGGGTTAGGGTTTTGGAACGAATTGGACACGAAATTCAGAAGAAGAGCGAAGAGAATGAGGATTTTGGGATTCATGGCGATTTTCGATTGAAATTTTTTTTTAATTTATTTTTCTCTGGTTTTGTATGAGTGAAAATGAAGCAGATATTTTTATTTTTATATTTTTTAATTATTTGTCAATTTTTGTATCTGTCACGATAATGACGACAGTGGCTAAGGAATACGAGAATCGCTGGAAGGATCTTTCAGCACCTAACGGAAAAACGACTTTCTCTTTTGACTTTTCTGGATCACTAGATTGGGCCTGGACCAAGATTCAGAATATCAAGGCCCATTTTTCTTAATGAGCCCGGCCCAAACGTAAAAACATCAGTTTCTAATTTCGATGTTACTTGTTCGCGACTCGTGAGATAGACTATGATGGATCTTTAATTGTTTCAGCTCCATCTTAGCAACTTGTTAGCAAAATCTAATAATAAGGAATGAAACATTTTTTTTTTCCTCGAGAAACCACAAGAAATTGATATAGTATAAGAGTTTAATCTTCGTGCATTTTTATATAAAAGTTCTACATAATTAGTACGAAACTAATTTTAATATATCTTTTTAAAGTATTTATTATAAAAGTCAAAAAATTATCATTAACTTCATGTCATCTCATGTGAAAATTGTTCTATATTTATATATTATATTTTGGTCATATCAATCAATGTAAGATCTCCGACATATTTCTCTCACAACAACAAAGACCAAACATTTTAAACATAATTTTTTTTATATTATATTAAAATAAAAATTAATTCTCAATTATATACTATGTTCTGGCCACATTAACTAATGTCAAGTAAATGAATAAACAAAAATTGTAAGAAGCAACTAACTTTGCACAAAAAAAAAGACTAAGATCAAAATTTGACAAAAATAGAAAGAGCTAAAAAGTTTGGAAGCATAAAATTAACAAGTTTCTAAGCAGTTTCTATTCACGTGGCTAAAAGGTTAAAAGAGGAGCAAAACAGAGCTGGACCTCACAAGCTAGCATTATACATGTCCCCTTGTCCTTTTTACAAGTTGCACATGTCCTACATTATGCTAGAAACAAATTTAGCCCTCTTAAGTAAACCAACGCTTTCTCTTTTCCTCCATTTTTTCTGTCTCCGTTTTGTTTTTCATGATTTAGGACAGAGAGAATTGTGATGCAATTGCAAAGCTGTACTTGTGCATTTTTCTCTTTGATTATTTGTGGCATGAGAACTCAATAGCGTGAGAAAGAAGGCAAAGGACACAAGGGTACCTACAAATCATAGATTTATTTAATGGTGACGGCTACTTAAGGCATGTCACCATGTCAGCAATGCCATTCATTCTCCCTTAATTGTATTAATATCATTTGCTTGTGACTCAATTAACTGTGGCCATGATGTTAATTATTTTGTTTGCTACCAAGGGCACAATTTTGTTTGGTAATTCAAACTAGTATAGAAGCCGTGCATAATGGAACTTCCTTTTAATTATTCTTTTGTAAGCAATAACCATTGATCTTTTGCTGGCTTTAATAATATGAAGTATAAACATCACTGACTAGTATACACACTAAAAAGTTTAAAGTCAAATTCTCACTAATGTTATAGAATTATCTATCTTGTTAACATATGTCAATATTTTTACTTATTTTAAGTCTAGTTGTAAAGTCTATCCTAAAATATAAGAATCGACTTAATTCTCTTATATTTGATTCTTGTCTTTGTTAAAATAATAATTGATCAACGAAAATCATGTCTTAAGAATATCTATCTTTCATGGATCATGTTCATAGGCCAAAAAAATATTTCTAGTGATCTCAAAATTGTGGTCACTTCCACATTATTACTAGTTCCTAGTTTCAGTTTCCACTTGCACATTTGAAGTGGAAACTTTTAAATACAAGACATTATTATTTGGCATGACATATCATGTGTTTATGATTCCAACCAATCTTGACTAGCCATGTAGTCAAGTTTTATTAATAGTTTCTCATAAATTGAAAAACTGGGTTATCTATTGCATGGAAATTGCATAGAATAATTTCTCCCTAAAAAGAATGTCAAAATAACAAAAAAAGAAGATTCAAGGAGAAAAATATTGCTACAATTTAACAGAAAATGCAAAGAAATATGACATATATATATATGTGTGCTGCATCTTGGTCAAAACAGAAAAGAAAAATTTAATCACCAATTGTGATGCCTTACATCTGAACCCTCATAGATAGAGGCATGTTTTTTAACTTTTCTTTCTTGCATGAAAATTTATGGAGCTTGGCAAAGGGTATTACTATTAACATTCTACACTCTGTACAATACAAAAAAAGACAGTGAAAATAAGAGCTCCTTAATTATATTCCAACATCTGTCTTTGCTGAATCTGTTGAAGATGGATAAAAATTTACTCCTTACAAGCTTGATAATTCCAAAGCTCAGCATTTTTCACCTTAGACACACTCTGCAACACTTCAGAGGGAAGAATATCGCCCATAACCACTACTATTTTTGTTTCCAAATCCACCTTATATGAGCTCACTCCTGTTAAAAACGTGGAGTGGATTCAGAAATTTTAATTTTAAATAGATACAAAGAAAAATACAAACATACTGAAAATAAACAATGATAATGTTGACTTTTTTGCAGATTTTGTCAAAAGGAGTGATTAACATATTCTCTCTCCTGTGGTGGACATTTGAGCAAACCCCACTGTGCTCATCTTAGTGTTCAACAATATATCTGACAGAATTTGCTTTAGCTTGTGATGAAATTTAGAGAAAAAGATAAAGCAAAAAGCTAACTTGTCTAGCAGTGGCAGTAATGTTAGATCTGATTTTTTTTCCCATTTTGTGACAGTGAAATTACTCTAGAAAGCAGCTTTATGATATGAAAAAATTGGCAATATGCTCACCTTCCAACTTTGAGATATGTTTCTCAACTTTTTTTGCACAGCCATGGCAATGCATGGACACCCTCAATGTCACTATCTGCATGTTTGATCAACAGGAAGATGTTAGATTAACCCTTACAAGGTGTATAATATAAGAGAAAATAGATTATGTACCGAGTTTTGCACTGATACAATTTGTTGACTTTTCTAATAAATAACTAAAAAATATTAAGACAGTGAATTATAATTGGTTGACAATTATTTTATACTATCACTCCATACAATTAAATTCATTTTTACTTTTCATTTTTGGAAAGGGAGACTTGAGATGTTACAATAGAAAATTCACTACAGAATAAGAGTTGGAACACCTACAACAACAGTTTAAGACTAAACTAGAACAAAAAAGAAAAACAAAAGGCCTCACCTGAGGTTTCAATTGGAAAGCCAATGTCTGCTTTCCATCTACAACGTCCTTCAATCTTAGTTTATGATCAGTGGCACTTACAATCAAGGGCTTTGTCTCAAACTCATCTTCAAACTCCTTTGAGTTCATGCAGAAACAAGTGTTTGAACCAAAAGAAAGACAGAACGTGTCCAACACCCTCCCTAGTTTCCCCATTTCAAAGTCTTGATCTCAGTCACAAGCAAATCTGAGTTGAAAGAAAACCACACTTGTAAAACAACTAAACTAACCTTCCACACGTCTCAACCAAAGTAGGGTCTAGTAGGAATATCTTATATTAAGGAGGAGAGAGACTTCAAAGGAGTGGGGTAACACACAAACTTAAGGTCAAATTTCATTGGGGAAGCCAAAAGCAGCACAGAACCCAATAAATTTTACGAGGAATAACAATAGAAAATAGATTCAGTGTGGTTAGATATTGTCATGTGATGAACCTCCAAAAGCACTTGACCAAACTAAAATTCAAGGATGCAAGATGCAACTAAGATGACATTATTTGTCACTATAAACTATACCACTAATGTTGTCAGTCACAACTCACAAATTTTAATTATTTGAATCGGATGATGGGTATAATTGCTTTAGAAAACGTGATTTTGTGAACCAAAATACGTTATAATAAACTTTAAACAACACGTGAGAACAAACCCACTAGAAACAGATACATAAAAAAGTGTCATTAAAGGAGAAGCATAGTTTGGAAGTTGTCTCTCAGTGACTATTTTGGCTATGGAAGACAAGAAACAGGTGCGTATTAAAAGAGGAGAAACTTGGGTCACATGATCAAAGAGGACATAAGTAAAGGAAGAGAGGGATCTCAGGATTGGAAATAGAAATGACAAACTTTATTAGTGAATGTGATGAGGCTTGGCCCATGTTGGGGGAAAAGAATATGCGTGTAGATTGTAGATCCATTTTATCATCCAAATTAATGAACTAGAAGCTTTGAAAAATGGTCAAATATATAAACAAGCGTGCTACATATTCTTAATTAGAAGTTGAGACTATTGTATTAGTTCACTCATGTCGATGCAAAGTATACTATAGGGATATAGTAATAGCATATAGTGCTTAATTAATTATTTTTTTTCTATGGTATTAGTGTAAATTATCTTTGTTAATTAATTCTTCTTAAAGAATGTGACTAATCAATTTTAATAAAGTCTTTTTTAAATCATATTTTTTCATCAAGAAGATTCAAATATAAAGCTTTACTTAAAGAATTCAAGTCTAATTTCATTCGGATCAAAATATATTTTGTATAGTGATTAATTGAACATGCATAAGTTGAATAGTCTATAAAAATATTTAAAAAATAAATTACATTAGTACATTTAACTTCCTTATTACCAACATTACTTACATTTGTTAAAATGTTATTATAAATTAATTTAATAGATTATTTTATAATATTTTTAAAAAAAAATATTACTATAGATAGAATAATATTTTTTATCTCAATATTATTTTTTAATTATTTTTAAATTAAAATTTCATATTAAATAAATAAATGACACATTAAGAGAATATATATAGTTATAGAGTGGTACTTAAATGAATTTTGATATTTGATGGTAACTAACTAAAGACAAGAATATCTTGAACTTTAAAGGACTTGTAGGAGGCTAAAAGTCATAAAGTATAAATGATAGTAATATCTATAACAAAATTAATTATTATTTGATAAAAGTTAACTAAAACTTAACAACATTATCAAAATGTTATAAAAATACTACTTTAATAACATTTGAAAAATTTTGTCTAATTATATAAAAATATTATTACTAAAAGTCTTGAATAATGTGAACTATATACAATATTTGATAATATGATATAAAAATAAATTAACAATATTTATATATAATTAGATAATATTTTTTAATGTTGTCAAAATCTGTTTTTGTTGTAGTGTGACTCCCTATGCTTAGACCTAAATCGTTAGAAAATATACTTGATTGAAAGGTTTGGCATGCTTGATATTCTAGATTATTATGCCACTTAAAACTGTTAATGGTTTTTTTTTTTTAGTTATGATGCAAACTTTTTTATACTACTCTCCAATCATATATATATTGTTAAACCATTCAAAAAAAATTAAATTATTACAACTACTACTTAAAAAATACTTAATAATGTGTGAATATGTCATGTAGTGACAGTATATAGAGAGAAAAAAATAAGGTTAGTTATCAGTGCATCAATTTTATAGTCAAATTTAGATGCCTAAAAGGCAAAGAAGGAACAAATGATAGAATAAGTAATTGAGACCCATTAAGACCTGAATGAGAAGCTTTGGACATGTTTGTCTTTACCTTGAATATGTGATGGTGCAAGATGGGACAGAAGGTGCATGCATTATTGGACACCATGAGATAAGAAGCGTTTTCAAATTATTGAATCGTTGAATAATTGCGTTAAATAAAGGCTCTTTTATTACAGGTTGGTCCATGTGACAGTGGAAGGAACCTTTCAATGGAAGCAGAAGGAGAATTTTGAAAAACAAATGCTAAGGGCTAAGTCATGTGTCAGGTATGTTACTCACATGAGTTTTTCTAGCTTCTGCATGGATACATTAAAGTAGAGGGAGAGTTTCTTTTGGTGGTTAACATGATGTTCAAACACACCTAATAAAGAACAAACTGCAAGGTTCACAGTGAATTTATCGAACGCATGAATTAATTTACGCAAATTTATTTCAGTTTAACTAATGATTTTAAATTTTGAATATGTAACTGGTTAAATACTTAAAATAAAAGTTTATTATCTGCAACCATTTTGCTTGATCTACGCAAAATTGTGTTTTGTAAAAAATAATTGTAATCTCATAAAGAGACATGAGTTGCTGAGACTTGTGTCTGCTTTAGCTTAGAAAAACCAAACATGTTGTAGTGTATTCACAGCATTTTGCATGAACATTACTTAATTTCTACCAATAATACGAAGTATCTTTCACTAAAAACATTAGTTAATTTTTATCAAGAATTGCGAGTGTATATAAAATAAATATTCTTTTTTTAATATAATTTATTCTACACTTAAAGTTAATATTTAAATCCTAGACACTTTTGTCAAAAAAAAATTTATTTTTTATCTCTTTTTCATATTGTTTTATTTTTATCTCCTTTTACTGAAAAAAAAAAAAAGAGAAGTAAATATTTTTAATTATATATAAATAATTTTTAATTTATAATATAAATATAGAAGATCAAAAGCAACAAAAAGAGCTTTTGATAATATTTGAATGTTATTAATTTATTTTTGTAAAATATTAGCAAATGTTGTATGTAGTACATGTCATAAAAGATTTTTAATAACATTTATATATAATTGAGTAACATTTTTTTTAATATTATTAAATGAAATTTTTATAACATTTTAATAATGTTACTAAATTTTAGTTAATTTTATAAAATAATAATTAATTTTAATATAAATATTATTATCAATTATATTTTATATAGCTCTTAGACTCTTATAAATTTTTTAAGTTAAGGTTAAAAACATCTTTAATTAGTTATCACTAAGTAAATATTGTTAAAGAAGTAAAATATAAAATTCACATGTGTTGCAGAAAAGTGTTACTATACGTTCCAAAATCATTCATTTGAATCATTCTTGGAACCGACAAACAATTTACACCTACAATAATTTTATTTAAAATATTTCTTGAATTTCAATATTTAAAAATTTTAAAAGTTGGGAAATTTCGGGGGATGCATAATTTTCCATAGATTTAGAAGCAGAAGCAGAAATGCTAACAAAAAACTAACAGAAGCAGAATGCAGTGAGTGATGTGACAAAGAGCAGTTTAGTTGGTTCAGAAGTGGGTCCATATCCCACAGTTTCCTATTAGCTACCGGTCGCTATGCAAGTAAAACTATCCCTACATCCCAATAACTACGGATACAAAATAATATTATATATAGGTATTGTGAATAATAAATATAAGTATCTTTTTTATTCGTATGTTAATGTACTCCTACTTGTAATTATCTATTAATATTTATTTATTTAAATTTATAATAATAAAATATTTTAATAATTAAATTAAAATTCTTTTTATTAATAAAATTATATATGATGTTTAAATGATTTAAGTTTCAACTTTTAAATTATT